GTGCACCAGATTCTATTCCAATCACAGACATTCCAGAAAGAGGACCTTTGGAACCTGCCCTACCGATGAAAGAACAACTTATGGAGCATTGGTCTTCTGACATCCCTAGAAAAGCAGAAGCACTCAATCTCATATCAAGCATACACAGAATGACACACTTAACTTGAGTCAAGAAATTTATTCAACCATCTCAGCAGGCAGAGGTAAATTGCAGATATTTATCATGGCATATAGCATATGGAGGATTGAGTCAAGAAGATAGACAAGGGCAAATAAAAACATAGATGCAGGGATTTACTAGTACTTAACTTGGACTCAATCAACATTTGTCATCCACATTCTTGCAGATGCATCAGCATTCAGTGGATGTTTTAAGAATTTTCCTAGTCTAAGCTACAGGTAGTAATGCTTTCGGTCGATGCTGATTATAGAAATGGCAGCCAGTAATCAAAACGAGCAAGATCTTCCTGAATCCTGACTCAGTAGCCCATCTATCATGTAAGCTTCCAACACAGTAGTAGCTCACCTCTGTAAGAGGGAAAGGAAGTAAATTGAAGGATACAGAGTAGACAATTTTTTATCCTTCTAAAGCTTTAATTCATAAGCTAGGTGTTGACGTCACGGATTTAATTGCTAACGAGTTCATGCTAGAATAGTATCACATGAAGCTTTGAACTTGAGATGGACTCAACAATTGTAAATTTGATAATTGATAGCATCATGTTCATTCCAACAACACAAGAAAATGCAGTGGTTCCTCTTCTCAAATTTGTTTCCTGAACTTTTCAGGTTTTTACGTTCAAAAGTCCTAATTACCTAGCTTCATTGGCGGACCAGTGGGTAGTCCAGGCAGGCCAGACTACCCACAAATTTGGCCCAAAATTCTATTACTACTCTTGAAACCGCCCACGGTCACTCTGCGTCTCGAGACTAGGCCGAAGACACACTCAAATCCACGAGCTCTTCAAAAAAATAATGGGCCCGAGAGGGATCGAACCGGGACCTCCTGTCTTAGGCTGCAGGTCGCTTACCAAATCCAGCTACGAAAGTTTGTTGGATAGGTGATACCCAAACCCTATTTAATAAGGGAAAGCAGGAAAAATACCCTTTAATTAATCACTTCTTGTATGCTAAATCATATCCTAAACGACTTTCTTTACCATGATGGAGGAGTATTTATGTAAGTTTCAACCTTTTAAATGTATTATCGTAATTTGGTTAATTTATAACTATGTTTGTCAAACTTTTTGTTTGGATTTTATAGTATTACATGAATTTTTTTACTAGGACTACCTCGGTCTCAAATCTCAGGGTCCGCTTTGCCTAGCTTAGATCTAATTCAACTTTATCTGAACAAGATGCATGATTTGGAGCTTATAAAACAAACTATTAATCACCTTGAAAGCACATGCTGAACTCCCAAGGCTTTGAGCTCCTAAATCACGGCAAACATCATCCTACTCCCAAAGAAAAGGGGCGCCTTGCGAAGTTCTGATTTTACCCAATCAGTCTCATTCATAGCATAGCGAAGATTTTTGCCAAGTTACTTGCAAACAGGTTGGCGCCACTGCTGGACTCCTTAGTTTCGAAATGCCAAAGCACATTCATTAAAAGGAGGAGCATCCACGACAACTTCCTATATGTTCAAAACATAATATGGACAATGCAAAAGATGAAGCTGCCCACACTGTTCCTGAAACTGGACATACACAAGGCCTTCGATACGGTCTGCTGGAGCTACCTTCTGGAGGTATTGCAGGCCTTAGGGCTCGGACCACGCTTGCGGGAGTGGGTATCGATCCTTTTCCACACGATGTCGTCGAGAGCGCTGCTAAATGGACAGCAGGGCCCAACCTTCAGTCACAACAGAGGGGATCGACAAGGCGACCCTCTATCGCCCATGTTGTTTATTCTCGCTATGGACCCGCTTCAACGGGCTAGACATGGCAACACAGCAAGGCGTCCTCTCTGCTCTTCCTCTATCCACGGCCGGTGGAGGACCTCCATGTATCTTCGACGATCAGGTTATCTTCATTAACCCGATCAAGGGCGACTTGGACTCCATCACGACGATCCTCTAGGAATTTGGTAGGGTCTCAAGCTTACACATAAATCTGCAAAAGAGCTCCGTCCACCCGATCAGATGCCAAGACATCGATCTAGATCATGTGTTAGCCTCCTTTGCAAGGGCAAGAGAATCCTTCCTGTGCCGCTACTTGGGACTGCAGCTCCATACGAGATCCCCGGAAGGTCCATGTGCAACCGCTCATTGAACGCATAGAGCGAGAGGCTACACAGGTTGGAAAGGTAGAATGCTCAACAGGCGGGCAAACTTACTTTGGTCACCACAGTGCTATCCTCGATGCCTACCTATCACCCTAATGTGTTCCCTCGGCCGGTATGGGCAAGAAAGCAAATTGACAAAATCAGAAGATCGTTCTTGTGGAAAGGTGATGAGAACGCATGAGGGCATTGCTTGGTAAATTGGTAGTCGGTGTCTTATGCCAAAAGATTTGGGAGGGTTGGGGTGCCAAACTTGGAAAATTTTGGAAGAGCCTTGCGCCTCGTTGGTTGTGGGCGAGGAGGGTTCATGACTCAAAACCTTGGGTAAGGACGACACTGTCGTGCAATGACCTAGACCATTTGCTCTTCAACACCTCAACAACGATAACAATTGGGAATGGTAACAAGGCACGTTTCTGGCGTCACAATTGGCTAGACAGTGAAGCTCCAAGATACCTAGCGCCCACCTTTTCACTGAGCTAGTGAGACAAAAGAACAGACGGTTTGCCGTGAACTACAAAATGGTAATTGGATCCGCTTCGCTCAGGGCGCAAATCACAACATTCGTTCGAGATACAAGAATTCATCGCCTCTGGTTCGAGGATTCGAGAAGTGCGACTCACGCCCGATGTGCGGGACTCCATAGTATGGAGATGGACGGTGATGGAAACTACTCCACACGTTCGACATATAACATACTGGTTCAAGGTTCACACAAAGTTCCAGGCTGATCTCATTTGGAAAGCAAGGCGGAAAAATAAATGCAAGATACATGCACGGGTACTAATGCCGACAAAATCCTCACTGCGGATAACTTGCAAAAGAGAGGGTGGCCACATCATAAGCATTATGTCTTGTGCAATGGACCTTTGGAAATGTGGATTGCATCTATCTTTGCTATGCCCCTTCGCTTAAAGCCGTGCTGGAGCCAGTGTTATCTTGGGAAAACTTTGATGTGCAATCGCCTAACAAGATCCCCAAAGCACAGCCACTTGGTGAGAGGATGTGGCAAACAAGGTGCCAAAGCAAGAACGCCGAACATTTAATGGAGTGCTCATTTACGTTGTGTGGAACCTGTGGAAGGAAAGGAATATGAGAATTTTCAAAAACGAGCACAAAACGTCGGAACAGGTCGCCTATTTGGCCAAGGAAGATATTGTTCAGAGGCGTAGAGCCATGTTTAGTGCGGGCTAAATCAACAAGCGCATGAGCGGTGGCTTCTGTGTGTTGGCTCTATGGTCTATGTTTGAGTTGGTCCTACGATCGGGTTTTTTTGGCACCATGGGTGCCTGTACATAAAACTCTATTTCCTTCTTAATTGAGCAGCAGAGCTCCTGCCTTTACTTTCAAAAAAAAAGTCACCTTGAAAGCTCTCAAGTGCCATGCCGTGGGCAGAACTAACTAGTACAGGCTACAAATACAAATTTAAACTGTTGATTGCTGTTATAAAAAATGGCTACATATAAATATAATACAATCGTTATAAACAACACATCTAGACCAGCATCAACAACCAAGCAATAATCTGTCCAAACTATCCTCATTACAACATGGGCAGGTGACAGCTATTGTTCAGCTGCACAAAATGGAAAAATTTTCAGCAAACTATACATGACATGTTATCAAGTAGGTGGCTTTCGAGGGTACTGAACTTTCAATTGTATGCATTGTTGGCAAACTATCTGAAAGCTGCATTTAGTTCATTACTACAGCATAAACATAGGCCCGAGAGAATAGAAATATATAGTTCACAGACAGCCAATCACTCACTAGTAAAAAAAGGACTAAGAAAAAAGAGATCAGTATCAGTGTATAAGATGATTGAAATTCTGGAAACATCACATATAGCATTTAAAACATATGACTTGAAACAAAACAGCGTAAGTCATTAAAATTTTGTGCCTCTTTTTCCCCCCTTTTCTTTTTGATGATTCCAACACTTACTGAGACAACTCACATATCTAAAATAAGCTTACAAACATGTCTCAACTTTTAATTGGCAACCTTGAGTGTTTTTTCTTGCAGTAGTAGAAGTGGTTTGCAGTATTAATTAGATAAGACGTCTCAAGAAACAGGGTAAGGAGTGAAACAATATGTCAGCTATATAATGCAGCACCATATATAGGAAAAACATTGTCTGCATACCTAGACAGGTCAAGCAGGTCACACGTAGATAGCCTATTTCATAAGCAAATACAAAAGCTTGAGCATGCTAGAGCGACTGCAGAAACTCAGCGGCATTTACAGGGTTCGCCTTGCCCACCTCCGTGCTATCTGTCCTGAGGGATCAATGGCCACTGCACGCTCCCCTGCCCTGGCAACGTCCTTCACGCTTATCTCACATGCCCACCCCTAGTTTCTCTTCATGCTGTGCCACCGATAAGAAGTCCGAGAAGCAAGGAACATAAGGAGGAAACTGCAAGGATTCCTGAAATGTGCCGACGGTCAACACTTCCTTGCTGTTCAAGCCATATGATATCAGCTGGTGTTTCCGATATACAATGAACACCAAATTGTTGTTGTCTGGATGAATGGCAACCACATTGTAGCAGCAAGAAAACCTGTTCTTCCAAACAGACGTGAACAGCTCACACTGTGCTTAAGGGCCCATTTTGTGTATCATAGTCCTCAAGAACCCAAATTGACAGTAGATTAGAATCATCATTGGAGTTTCTTGTATAAACACGACTGGACAGTTCAGATGGGATACCACCTGCTCAATGTTCTTCGTTGATGCAATATAGGTGCCCTTGGGATTGACCAATGAAAAGCGGACAGCAGCCATGAACCCGCCCACCCACAGAAGACGGCGCTCGGATGATCCTTTTTGTCTTCCCTTCCACATCCACCTCAAATATCTGCTTATCAGTCAAGATCAAATACAGCATGCCATTGAAAATGGCGGCACATGGGACCGCACCCCTGATCTGAGGACGCGGCGGCGCATTCCATTGTCTTATCCTCCATACTTCCTGAGCCCAGTCAATCTGGGTGTGCCTCCACACCCCTGTTTCTGAGGAGTAGGATTGCACTGTTGCCAGGCTCCCCTCCTGCGCGCTGATGATGACCAAATGGAAGTAGGGGGAGACAGCCGGATTGAACACGAAACAGGTGTGGTTCAAGCGAATGGGCCTGTCAGCCAGAGTATGCTCGCTGGGCACGGCCGCCCACTGCTCTGTGGCGGGGTTGAACACAATATAGCCGAGCTCACGAAACCAGGTGCTGTGCCTAAAGAGGAGGAGCCCATTGCAGGACGCCCTGAGCCAGATGTTGTGAATGCCAGGCAGCTTCTTGAGGAAGGTGAAGGAAGGGTCGACAGGAGACGCGGATCCCCCAGACAGATTGATGAAAGATCCCAACTCCCCACGTAAGAAGGAAAACCCCATGGAGAGTTTGGGGGAGCTTCTTGTGGTGGAGGGGATCCGCGATGAGGTCGCGCCAGCCTTTGGAGACGCACTTGGATCGGTGGATCTCATTGATGGGGAGGTGGGAGAGGATCTCCACCAGGAGGTCGTCGGGGAGGCCAGCCACCGCGCTCTTCTTCGGGCGCTCCATGCCGCTGCGAATGGAGAAGCAAACAGGGGGGTGAGGGCCGCGAGGCGACGAGAGAGCGCGCCGCTGGAATGGAGGTGGAGCGGAGCGTGCCGGCGCCAGGCGCCGGAGAAGGTGGGGGAGTCGTCGAAGGCAAACGGACCTACTCTGCACCGCTCAGCCTTATCTCCTCGCCCCTGCTCACTCCGCGAGCATCGATCCGCTCGCTATCCTCCCGGACCTGCGTCGAGGCAGGTGTGGAGAACTGGAGATGACGGCAGATCTAGCAGCTTCTTCGCATGAGCTCCGCCTCGGTTCGACCGGCGTCGAGGCAGGGGCACCCCTGGGCGATGTCGCACGGGCCCCCGCGAGATCCGCTGCGACCCAAGAAGCTCCTATCCCCTTACCCTGCCGGCGCCTCGTCGCTAGCCCCGCCAGCGCCCGTCCTCCCCAGCGCGAAGGCGGAGAAGGCCCACACCGGCGCCCTCCGCGGGCCCCGTCACCAGTCCCCGCCGACGGCCCCTCCTCTTCTCCTCCGCCCGCCTCCTCTTCTCCAGCAACGGTGCGGGCAAGGAAATGGACCGTGCGGCTTGGCGTCGAGCCGAGACGGAGCGCGCGGCCCGACGTCGGAGACGGGAGCGGGCGGCGCAGAGTTGCCGGCTTGACTCCGTCGAGCAAGGAGGAGAGGCGCGGGAGCTGGGCTACAGGGCTGGGCGGCACTGCAGCCAGCCCTGTTGAAGAACGAGATATCAAAATAGAATTGCACCCGGCCCGCCCCCTCACGTAAAATCAAAATAGAATTGCATCGGCTGTGCCCGCGTAACAGCAGAGTGCGCTCGCCACGTCTACGTCACAAGATAAAAACTTGAGGCACACGATATTGCTCGGCGCACACGCGCAAGGCACCTTGGTGATATCATGAAGATAGCATAGGATCTGTTAGGATATGCCAAGTGCTTGATTCCATATAAAGATTGCCCACAAGATGAAAACTTGCGGCACACGATATTGTTGTTAGGATATACCAAGTGCTTGATTCCATGTAAAGATTGCCCACAAGATGAAAACTTGCGGCACACGATATTGCTCGGCACACACGCGCAAGGCACCTTGGTGATATCGTGAAGATAGCATAGAATCTGTTAGGATATGCCAAGTGTTTGATTCCTTGTAAAGATTGTATCCTACCCGATTAGACTTAGACCTAATCGGCATGTATCTCTACCCCGGGCTATATAAGCCAGGTAGGGGACCTCTCAAAACACATCCAATATCATATGATAGCCAATACAAACCGACATAATACAGGACTAGGGTATTACGTCGAGCTGACGGCCAGAACCTGTCTAGTCTCTGTCACCATCTTCCTCCTGTTCACGCGTACCTCTCCGATCAATAAACCATAGTGGACATACCCCTCGGTGGATTGCCGACGATATTTAATCACCATAGTGGACATACCCCTCGGTGGATTGCCGACGATATTTAATCGACAGTTGGCGCACTAGGTATGGATGTGTGTGCTGATCCCGTGACGAATCAGATGGATCTCAAGATCAGCGCCATCCGTGGCAACTCGGCTTCTCGCGGCGGCGGCGTCGTCCTTCATCAACCTACGATGATCTCGGTGTCTCGATCCAACTCGCAGCAGCACGCTCCATGTCGAGAGCGCCAGTCATGATTTCAATCCACTAATACCTGACGCCGGCAAATGTACGTACGGATCTACAGAGCAAGCAAGAAGTAAAGGCGGACGTGGATCAATCTACAGAGCCAAGATAAGCGACTACAGCTAGGAGGCGCACATGGGACAGGATCGGTTCGATCGATCAAGCTCCGCCTCCCTGGGCGAGCAGAGATCGTTCGACTCCTGGCCCCTGCCGACTCTGCCTCGGTGATCCAACGTGGCCACGATTGATCTACAAGCAAGCAAAAGGAAGACGCAAGGCCATGCAAGTTATTAAATATTTGATTTACTTGGCGCATGCAAACCTGTATGTGTATGAATTCAAGACGGATTCACCAGCGACATGAATATCAACTACGAACAGAGCAGCTGTTTCCACGCCGGAGCAGAGCACTCTCGACTTCAACATCAACGGGATCGGAGCCGACAACTTCACCACGCCTGTGCTCTGGACTTCGTCAAGCTACGCCGAAGTACACACATCCGTGTGGGCAAAGTACATGCACTCCGACTACGCCCATTCAACTACGACTCCGAGCATCCGTCCGACTGCAGCGAGCCACCCGAGCTATCAAGCGAGCCACCGTCGAGCCAAGAGCGAGCCGTTCACGCCGCATCCGTCTACTCGGACATCATACACGCCGACTACTCCGCTCGGCGTCTATCAAAGCGCCATGCAGCATCGCTTCTCCGATTAGATCGAATGTGGCTACGTCAACGATCTCCTCGAATCTGATTTGCCTAAGGCCGACTAGCAGCACAAGGACGACGTCGTCCGGACTACTCGTTCCAATCGCCTGCTGCGTCGCAATGATGATCACCGCGAAGAACGGTGCTATGACCACCGTGACCGCAGCCATGACGACAGGCCGGAAAGCTCAAGGGCCGGGCACTTTCGTCAACGCCGCCGACCAGATGTTCTGTCTAAAAATAAGCACCCTTCCTATATCTGCATTTAATAAAGTTTTCTGCTCGTCGTTTCTCTAATTATTTACCCTGTTCGCTTATGCTGAAATTTGGCTTATGTTGATCTTTATGCTGAAATGCTGTGAGAGAAAAACACTGTTCTATGGCTGAAAAGTAGCTCAAGCGAACAAGCTGATTATTTCTCCATTTGTTCTCCATATTTAATATCTTTAGGATACTCCATTTATTCTTCTTGCGTAATATCTTTAAGATATTCTCCACCGACTCGTCGACTAGCCACGTCCTTATTCGCGTTATTTAGAGGTGACCCTGTTCTCGATCTCGCACCTACACGTGCACGGGTGCCAGCGCTCTACGTTATGGACGGTCGACAGCGGCTCTTCGACGACGCATGTACTCTTACGTGTAAACGAGTGCTGGCCACTCTACACTATGGGGTATGAACTAGTCGGGGCTGCTGATGCGATAAATGGCCAACTCAAAGGAAACTCCTCATATTTTAAATAAGATAAAACTTAAAACAAACATAGTGTTTGTCTACAACTCCTCGAAAAGTTACAAAGTTCTTTGATAAATTCGTCCTAATCTGCTCCGTCTTGTTTTCTTTCTTGCCGAACAGGTTAAGGTCGTCCGCCAGCTTCATCGCCGACTCCGTCGCCTTTTTTTTCAAGCGTCGCAATCTCCTCAGTGGTCGTCCCTCGGGCGAAATCTCCGTCACTCACCTCCAGCCGACCAATTAAACTAGTCGAATACCTATTTTCACTGGTCGACTTCAGATACAAGATGCTCGGGACTGGCTGCTAAGCAAGTCCAGGTCGTCGGGCAGCTTGATCGCCAACTCGGACTACTCTTGTGAAGCTGAAATTCTCATAAGGAAAATTCTCCTGACGGCTTACTATGTTTCGACGGTGTTGCATGCCATGTGTGCTATCAAGCTACTCCATGTTGTTCGGATCAGGGTACTGATCCTGGGCAGCACGTCGGGGGCCTTGATAAGTACATGGCAGATGACGCTGGCTGTTTCACGCATCAACACTGGAATATCCTACTTTAGCAAGTTTGAGACCAGCTGACCAGTTAAACTAGTTGGCTGTTTATTTTCTCTGGTGGAGTACCAGTTAAATTGATGCTCAGACAGCATCAGGATGACGCTGCTTTCTTCTTTTGACCTCGCAAAATATTTTCACTTGATTTCTTTGACCATGTTACAAGATGTTTTCTCCATCTTTTAACAGGCTCGAGGACTAAGTGTGTACACTTCATCTTATAGTGAGTGTCCTGATTTTTCTTCTTAATGATTTTCAGCTAAGCTGTGGACTGGCTGTGTGATTGGCTAGCATCTGGAGTCTTCTATTTTTTTTTACCCTGGCACTACGTGAATTATTCACCTACCGCCAGGCTCGTGGACTAAGTGGCTATACTTCATCTTTCGGTGAATGTAGTGCTTTTTTTTTAATTTACCCTTCTTATTGACTAAGTCATGGATGATAATCATCCGACATCTCAGACGGAGTCTAAGTGGCTACACTTTATTTGAGATGAAGAATTTTTAAAATTTTCTTAAGCTCCTTACATCCTATTGCTGAGCCTTACTTGGCTAAGTCCAATGTCTGCTATCCAGTTAAACTGGTCGATAGATGTTTTTACTGGTCGGCTAAACAGTTAAACTGGTCAGCGTCCATTTCAACAGGTCTGTCAACCAGTTAAACTGGTCGTCTTCATTTTTCACTGCTCAAGTTGTCAATTAAACTGATCGGCCCCATGCTGGACTTCTTGGACTTGATCAAGACGACGTCACCAAGCACCATCAGGGACGGTCTAGCCCACAAGATGAAGACTTATGGCGCACGCCGCAAAGCACCTTGGTGATATCCTAAAGATAGCATAGGATCAGTTAGGATATGAAGTGCTTGATTCGATGTAAAGATTGTATCCTACCCGATTAGACTTAGACCTGATCGGCATGTAACCCTACTCTCGGGCTATATAAGGCGGGTAGGGGACCCTCTCAAAACACATCCAATATCATACGATAGCCAATACAAACCGACAGAACACAGAACTAGGGTATTACGTCGAGCCGGCGGTCTGAACCTGTCTAATCTTGTCTCTGTCACCATCTTGCTCCTGTTCACGCGTACCTCCCCGATCAATCTACTATCGTGGGCATACCCCTCGGTGGATTGCCGAAGATATTTAGTCGACACGCGCCCGCGCCGTATCTGCACCCATCTCCACACC